TCTAAAATCAGGACAAACAGCAGAGACTGTCAGCAGAATATGACTGTCAACAATCACCCAGATTTTCTGATGATAAGTAGTACGGTGAATAATTCATTGACAGATACAGCTCTCTCTCAAAGGAAATCTTTCTTGCTCAGGATCTTATGTCATTTGTTTAGACTTACACTATTGCTGGTTATCCTTTAAATATCCTTGACCTTTTGGGGAGTTTCCTTGAGAATACAAAACCAACAAAAAGTTTTATTTACCTTTTCCACGGTTGGCCTCATTCTAAATTTAATTTCAGGAATAATTCAATTACTTCCTGCTTCATGGAACCTATATTCTTTTTGAGGAAAGGAGGGGATGACGTTTCCCAAAATATTTCAGTGATTTGTTTTCCCAAAAGACCAGCACTCTGGATTTGCTATTTATATGCATGTCATTGTTGCAGCTTCACAGCTGTCAAGCAGAGTGCTTATTTTCCATGGGAATATTGGAGACTCAGTAAAATACATCCTTTGATTACAATATTATTTGATTCAGTGCCAAATAAAAATGAAAAATTCCATGTATTGATCTCCCCAAACTCTGAGTTTCGTAGATATGAATGGTAAATACTGTATGTAAACAGCATATTCTGTATGTAGCTATTGAATTATTTTTAAAAGGTGACTGTTTTGATTCTATTTCTAACTTTTTAAAAAAGAATTGGATTTTTTAAATGAATAAAATAAAATCATGACATGGTATACATGGCTGGTTTTGTTTTGTGTTTGGTGAGTATGAAACAATGTCTCAGGTCTTTATAACAGAAACATCTAACTGCTACTTAGAATGTATTTACACTGCATTTGAAGAAAGCTACATTGTGCTCAATACTTTTCATGTACTCCACACGGAGATAACTTTATACATTGAGTTGCACACTTGGAGAACACTGAACTGCAGAAGGTTGTAGAGGTGATTGCACCGTCAATTCACATACAAGATAGACCAAACCTGCTGATTTTCATTTTTTTTACAAGATCTGAGAGTGCAATATATGTTGCAGACATCTGAATTTCTGGTAACATTTTGCTACACAGAAATCCACAGAAGAGAATAGGTGCAAGTTCCTCGGAGTCCACCCCTTTCTCATTATCTGGCACTTAAACTCTCAGTAACTCACTCTGAGACATCTGTAGGAGAAAGAATAAAAAGTGTTTCTTTTCTTACTGTTGCTTGACGCTACAGACTTATGTATACTTCTTTCTTTACTGCACACATACTTAACAACTAACCAAACAGATCAACAGCAAACAACCCCCCCCGACCCAGGAAAGAGGAAAAAAATAAAACACTTGGCAGAGAGGCAGGGCTCTCTTAGAATTCAAAGGCTGGAAGGAATGATTGGTGAGTGCTGGATAGACAGAATCACCCCAGAGCATAAAATTATTTCCCTGTCACACAGACAACGTGCAAGGTTGCAAATAAAACTCCAACAATATAGAATATATGTAATATATGAAACAACTATACTGTATTAGAAGTTTATCCATGTTATCTCTTCTGCAGAAATGCACTGTGGAGATTGAAAGAGGTGGTTGTAGATAATTTTTAAAAATATTATAGCTATTATACATTGATGAGGTCTATAGTTCTGCCTGTCAATCCCAACACTTCCTGAAATCTTAAAGTTTCTTCTGATGTCTTTTTCCTAACTTAAAACGCTGGGGAAAAGTGCATCACGAGGCTATAATGAGGTAAAAAGTGTTGTTTGCTACCCTTTCTTGCTTTGGAGATGGAACCCATTTGAGCCTTGGGGAAATAGTGACCAACATACCCATAACTGGGCTGTGTGTGTAAATATATGAGTAAGCACCTTACAGTGTCTCTTTAACTGATAAATTTAAAGGGCAGTTCTTCCTTGGAGTGGATATGGCTTCCTTACAGATCCAGGTAGAACAAATATGGAGAAGCTAGTCTGCTTGAAGCCTTGAATTCAAGGTATCATGGTGCAGATGACTGCTTAATGTTTACTTATATGATCACTTTTCAATTTTAATTTTTTTCTTTCCTTAATTTGTTCAGTAAGGAGCTACTTTCCCAACAGTAATCTCTCTCAAAAAGCAGGTAAATTCTCAAAGAGAAGAAACATTTGGTTTAAAACCCAAGGTGCTGACTGAAATGAAATTCATACCACTGAGCAATCCTTCCGCCATTCAAAACATGTCAACGTTGATGAACCTTTCTTCTGCCTTAACACCCAAGAAAGTGTGTAAGACAACATGCAGCTGCCGTTAAGCGGCTGAATTACTGGTATTACAGTCATGAGGGAATTTGGTTTGGTATTTTATGCAACAGTAACAGATAGACATGAGCCTTACAGCTTGAGATGCCTTTTCCATAAGGATAAAAGAAATTCCTGCAAGATGGTGTGGTAGTTGATCTCAGAACAATACACTGTACACTCATCTTCAACAGGAGGAAAACTTCCAAGGTCAAGAGGGATCAGGGCCTGGTGCCTTGAACCTGAAGGATCAACCAGATCCGATTCAACAGGATTCTTCCGTCACAGACACTGGGGAGAATTAATCAACCCTCTTTCCAAACAAGATATCCCCATGGGTTCAGTGTTTAAATGTATGGATCAACAGAGAGTCGTGAAGAATTCTGTTTTTTGAACAGCTCTCCGAATTCCAGATTACAACCATCTGAAATTTGCCGCCTGAGTTTGGCAATATAACAGTCTTTAAGGTGTCACATATTTTTGTCTTGTCTTATTTCTTTGGATTTTGCCCGATACGCTTCCACAAACAGGGCTACCTCTTCCAAAACTACAACGGAGGAATTCTGGGAGTTGTAGTCCACAAACTCAAATCTGCACACTTCTAATGAGAAATACTTTGGATTGTCACTCGGCGGAGATTTACAGCCCACGCGGTGGGCGCGCCCACGACTAATCAGGCAAGGCATCGGAGGAGATTAATTCCAACACTGGGAAAGAGGAAAGGGACGGGACAAGGAAAGGTGGGCGTGACTTGGAAAGGTAATCCTCGGCTGTCAGAAAGCTCATAGGCTGGACGAAAGAATGGGTGTGGCTTGAGTACAAGGAGCCGGTTTGGGTTCTGGCGGAAGAGGCGCTTTCGCCTTTTTTGTGTGCCAACGACACCATAGACTTACTAAAAAGAATAGACACCATAGACTTACTAAAAAGAATAGAGTGATAATGCTTTCGGTCATTGCCCGTAATATCTTTCGACGCTATAATCTCATTTGACCTTTGCAGGGCAGTTTGATTACTTAGTAAAACACAGGAAAAATTTACTGTGTCAAATATGTTGCAATTCTGACATGTTCATTTTTTTGGTTAAATATTTAGTGACTATTAAAATATTTAACAAATATGTGATTGTTATTAAATGTTGTCGGGTTTTTCTGCAGAAAGACTTGAGATACTGGCTTAGACGTTGCTAGATGTTTTTCTGTTAATATTTCCAGAACCGGACTTTAAATAGGTTTTACAAATACATTCTTCACATTACGGACAGAAGCTGAGTGATGGAGAGATACGAAATGTCCTGTTGGATTGGACAAAAATCTAGAATAGCACTAAAGCTGCACACAGTGGTTATTAGCATCATGTGCGTGTACAGGGTGTGCCACTAAAACATAGGGTGCCTGTATTTTAAGGTCGGTGCAATGTCCCCTTACATCCTCTGTGGACAAATCCTGCGCAGCCTTCTGCTTCTGCAGAAGATCACCGGGTGGGTCCCTGGAGGGAGCCCACCAACCGCTCGAGAGAGAGCAGAATAGCATCCTTCTTGCTTAGGTCGTGCAGCGCATCCTCCTTCTGACACTGGACGGCGGTTTGCAAAGTTTCATATGTGCTGTGTGAATGGTAGTAAACTACGCAAGAGCCTCATAAACCTTTCCTTGAGCATCCAACTGCAAAAAATAAAAAAATAAAAAAGGGCGATACCAGAAACCCATCTTGCCATGTAGGTTCAGAGTTTAAACTTCGGACTTTTAATTTCTTCACATTGGTACAAACCCGATGAAAGAACTTTCCAGGCAAAATCCATCTTGCCATGCAGGTTCAGAGTTTAAGCTTTGGACTTTTAATTTCTTCACACTGGTACAAACCCGATGAAAGTGTGTTTTAATGCACGAAAGCTCGTTTCTTGTGCGACGATTTTGTTGTTTAGTCGTGTCCGACTCTTCGTGACCCCATGGATCAGATCACGCCAGGCCCTCCTGTCTTCCACTGCCTCCCGGAGTTGGGTCAAAATTCATGTTGGTGGCTTTTTTTAAAAAGTGGCTTATAAAGGCATCGCCTGTTTCTGCAACTTAGATTTCATTCTGTTTGGACCACGCAGCGACCCTTGTACTTCAATGGCATTTCCTTGAGCCTGACTCTTCGCAAGATCTGAGTTCCCATTATTTATTTATTTATTTATTTTTTGCTCACTGGGATTTAGAACCAGAAAGGCAACGCACAAGTTTTACTCGGGAGTAACGTTCCTTCCCTTCCAGGGGATTTACTCACAAGTGCACGCAGCACTGCGTTTAGAAGACGCAAGTCCCGCGGAATGTGTGGATTCTATTTCTGATTCAGCAGCCAAGGATTGTACTCTCCCCATGCTCACTAGTAGCAGGGGAGTATTTATTACCCCAAATGTTTTTCGACCACTTTATTAAAAATGTTAACTCTTCCCTTCTTCCTCCTTCGGAAAGACGGCAAGCTGCTCGCCAGTCCGCGGCCCAGAGCGAGACCCGCTGAGACGTGATATGCGGCCGCCGAAGGGTGGCGTTCGATTTCGTACCTGACGTTTCGGTCGCACGCGTCGTCTTCCCTTTGTCTATCTCTTAGGCTTCAGAGAAAATGTTAAGGGGACGTTCTGCGGACGACAAGGGCGGGGCGTTTGCGTGTCTTCCTCCGACAAACAACGTTGGCGGAAATGGTTTCGTAGGAGACCCGCGGGCGCGCGCGGGAGGGGGGGGAGGGAGCCAGTACGGTGGCTGGAGAGGGCTACAATTGGTCGAGCGGAGAGGCAGCAGCGGGAGCGGCAGGAGGAACCGGCCTGGCTTGGCTTGCCTCTCGGCTGGCGGGCAGGCGGGCGATCCTCCCGGCGGAGCGGTCATGTCGTTGCTGCAGTCGGCGCTGGAATTCCTGGCCGGGCCGGGCTCCTTGGGGGCCGCCAGCCGAGACCAGAATGACTTCGTGGGGCAGGTGGTGGAGATGGGCGAGATGAAGCTGCGGATCAAGAGGGTCATCGCCGAAGGTAGGCCTTTGTGTGTGTGTGTTTGTGTGTGTGTGTTTGTGTGTGTAGGTGTGTGTAGGGGGTGGTGGTGGTGGGGAATGGGGAGGCAGGTGGAGATGGGAGAAAGGTTTCGGGGGCTCAGAAGGAAAAGGGCTCCGGGGTGGGGAAGGTCCTGTGACCCACAGTGCTCCCCTAGGATCCTGAACCCAGCCACCCCTTTTTCCTTCTCTTCTTCCTCTTTCCCTTTCTCACCTTCTCTTCCTTCTTCATCTCTTCCTCCTTTCCATTCATGTCAGTTTTAAAAGCAGGGACGCAAGATACTCCCCTCCCCCCCCCAATAGTCGATTAGTACAGAGTGCGGTCAAAAACCATCCCACCATGAAACGAGAGTAATAGTAATTTAAGATCTGAATCGGTCACCAACATCTGCTGTATCCCTTTTCCACTTATAATTTATTATCAGTAAACGAGGGTGATGGTAGGCATTAACACATTAGACACACAGGAGTAATTAAAACAGGGGCAGTAGGCATTCAGCCTTAATCTTTAGCCAAGCTGTCTGGGGGAAAAAAAGGTACAGGAAGGAAGGTCAATAAATAGCAACAGCAATTTATGAAGATTCCCAGCAATGACCAGGTGAGATTCCCCCTCCCTCGCTGTCAGACAGTTAAAATGAGAGCTAGCATCTAATCTGCTTGGTTTAACAAGCTGCGGTGAGATGGTTGGGAGCATATTGGGTGGCACTGTGATTGTCAGATACAACAGCTCAACAGCTGTGATTAGAGCTCTTTGGAAAGGGCAACAACAAAGATTTGTTGATCTATGGACCGTAACAGAAAAATCAAACCTTGCAGTAATCAGAGGACCAGAAGTTCAGTAAATGATAACATGTCCATCGTCATCCTTTATTTAAAAATTCAGCAGCATGAATGAGAATAGTGATGTTTCCATTTAAGCATACTTGTAGAATATCTAGCTCAGGCCTGTTAGGAAACTGGGTCCAGAAAGGTGGGCAGTATTCTGCCTCTCACCCAGATGTAGAAATTATAGTATGGAAACATATGCACCATGATCCCTACAGCTCCTTGACCACATGGACATAGTTTTGGGTAGACGAGGTGTACCTTGAAGGTGACTTTCTGTGATTGTAAAGTACATCTCATTGACCCTTACTATGAAACAGTACCTCATGAATGTAAGCACTGATGGCTTACTTGGAAAACACACTCATGATTACAAGAAACATTTAATCCTTGTGCTACAGGGAGCCCATTTCTTTGGACATGGCTAAGGCATTGTGCCTACCAGTATTCTCTGCTTAATCAGGGATTTGGAATATGTGCCGTTCTGCCTGTATAGCTGTTCTCAGCAGAAACCAAGTAAAGAAGTCTTGGACCCAGAGTTTTCTTACAGAAAGAAATAGATGGCAGTTAAACATAGATGCTTCAATCTTTGTGATGGGATACAAGATTCCAGTAACAAGATTCCAGCCTCCTCCTCCCCAATTCATGAGCATAAGGCCTCTTCCAGAGTAAAGACTGAGTCTGATATACATTTAGGAGCACCCAGAATAGATCTCAGTAATGCGGACTAAACCCTTTGGATGACGGAGTGCAGATCAATAACACAAACTTCTAGTCTACATGAAAGTTATGAGATCAGTGACTTTAAATACTCAACTTTCAGGAGCAACAAACCCATCTTCTTTAGTCAGAAAGGAGTGTAATGTCAGTTTTGCAAGGTGTTCTTATCTGGGTATTGCAGATTTGCTGTGCATTCCTCATTTCAAAGAGTAATTAGAATGAATACTAAAGTAGTCGTAGGAATTGACCTGTTCTACTGAGCGACCATCTATTTTCCAATTACATACTGTTCTTTATTTAGAGAAAAGCAGCACTTTGGATTTTCCATAATTAATAGTTAGCTGGTTTTCTCTACAGTGATCTCCAAGATCAGCTGGTAGTTATTTCTAGTCTCACTCTAGGTTGGGACAACAGTGTTGTATTGTCAGCATACAGAAGAGTTGAAATCTTTGCCTGGGCCAACTTTGGGGAAGGAGAATCTATTAAACTCAGTATACAGTATGGAGTTAAGTCACCATGTATTAAATAATAAACTCAAACTTGTGTAATACCCAGAATGGATGAATAACATTGGTGAGATGACCTTTATCTTTTGCAATTCTTTGCTCCTTCCATTCTTCCACTATTAATATTTTTTCTAGAGATATATAAAGATTTATCAACTTTATTTCTGGCCTTTTCTCTTGTGTTTAGTAGTTTGTTAAAGCACAGATATTTGACAAAACTGACTTTGTAAATTTTTTTTGTGTTGGCTTCATGTAGCTGCTAAAAGCATGTGTAATTGTACTGTTCAGTGCACTTTATAGAATAAATACCCTTGAAGTGGTTAAATAATAGCTACAATGGGATGAGGGTTATTCCAGGATAACAAGGACCATAAATAATATGATTTGGGACTACTTGTGTTTTAGTCTCAGCATGCAAAGGCTCCTGGGTATATCTATGTACAAATAGCAATTGGGCCATGTTTGTAGAGTTGAGAAGAGATAGCGTGTCAAGTTGACATGTATGAACATGGTGAAAAAACACTTGGTACACAACTAGTAAAAGAACTCCCCACCCCCACTCTAGAGAATACCAGTTTTGACAGCAAATGTTCAGGCTGCATTAATGATTCAGGCCTTCATTATGCTTGGAAACTAAACTCTTTGCTGTTGTTTTTCTACAAATTTGAAGAGAGCAGCTCTTTTACATCTAAAATAGGGTTAGTCCTCAAACCTTAGCCCTTGTTCCCCATTGAATTCCCCGTTGTTCTGTTTGGGTGTATGTTTGCCAGTTTTATGAAGGTGCCTCTGCTCAGATGAACTGTTTCAAGGGACCTGGATCTTAAGCACTAAGTTAATGGCAAATGGTCAGTTAATTTTTAAAGAAGTTGAACATGATCAAAGCCACTCCGTAACTGTTGTGCCTCAAATAAGATATGCCAGCCTCACCATCATTTTCAAAACAGGAAACTGTCTCTTGTCCAGGTACAGCTGGCCCACTATTTATATTTAATTAGATATGGAGCCATGTTCGTTTTCTGTGTCAGAACATACCTAGCATGTTCAGTAGGCTTTGGATGAGCTTTGCAATGCACGTGGTGTTTTTGAACATCAGCATTAGCTGCAGAAGGTGGTTGATCCATGTGACTCTCTGTATGTTCTACATGGTAGTCTGTAGTCAAGAAAGCTTGCACACTTTTCTGTGTTTTCCTTACTCTTAATAAAGGAAGTGCTCAGTTGTGAATTTTGTAACTTTGAATGTCATCTTTGTTGAGGTTGTGTTGAAACTGGACATTTCCTGTCCTTTATCAGATCAGCTGAAGCCAAAAGAGAGTGACTGAAATCTTGTTGTGTAGCTCCATATTCACAGTGGGAATGATGTCATCATCAGCATCAAATCTCCTCTGAGTAAAGGTTCCCTTTGGTGATTTCAAGGTGTACATGACTTTGTTGCATTGGGTACAAGTTGTGTGCACTGTGAAATCGTCAAAGGAAGACTTTAAATCAGCAGTTTGCTGCTGACATCATTCCCGTTGAGCTTGTGGAGCTGTGCAATGGGATTTCAGCCAGAGTTTCAGGGTGATCTTCTGATCAGATGCAGAAAGTACAGAAATATAGAACTTGTCAATAGCTTCTTCTTTTAATTTCTGTTTGACTTTAGTCTCATGCCCAAACCATATGAGATTCTGGCTGTCATGTTGTGAGTCTGATAGACCATAAAAGCTCATCTTTTAATACAGATGGCGGTTTTTAAGGTTGCACAGGGCTCCTCACTGTGTGACAAAATAACGTTCTCTAAGAACTTTGGAAACCATTAAAAAATCAGGTAATGTTGGTTACTAACATTCTGGAATAGTAATTTGGTAGCAGATATGTAAGCAAAAAAGAAGAAAAGAACAGTAAAAATAATGGCCTTAGAAGGTAGCGTATTGGGTTAAGAAAAGGAGAAAAATATAAAATAAAGAAGACAAAAATGTTGTGATACCTTGAAGGCTAACTGCTATACTGTATTTTAATGTGAGCTTTTGTGGACAAGTTCACTTCCTCAAACCTTAGAAGGTAGCTTATTTGTACTGAAATGGGGCAGTTGTTCCCTTTTGGTGGGGGTGGGAAGCATTCCTATTGAGGAAGAAAGGAGCTAACTAGGAGCACATGGTCCTTTTTATGTATAAATGAATACTGGACACACTGAGTTGTCAGTTTTCTAGGTTTTCTGATGTACTATTTCAGTGTTTTCTTACCTGATGAACTAGCACATAGGGGTGAGAGCTTAATGCTGTCGATTTAACATAATCTGTCTCTCTGATGAATTGATTTGATTCAAGCAGGAAGTTACTTTATTTGTATGTGTATTTAGAAATGTGATTTCCCACCTGCATTGTAAAGTGCCATTGTTCAGAATTCCTCTTTCCCCCCCCCCGCCCCTTCTGCATCAGGTGTTGAGGCATACTCAGGATGTTTGAAGAGCTGTGAGTCATAAATTAAACTGCAAAGGCTGGATATAAATGTCAGGTTGCACTGTGCTGCTGCTTGTAATTCTTTTGAGAAGTGAGGGGGCAAAACCTTGAAGACAGAAGAAAAGGCCTCGTCTGTGGCTGAGCAGCGGGAGCTTCTGCTTCTCTTCACTCTACCAGCGCAATCACTGTGCTTGCCATTTGGGGGAGGAAAAAAGGCTTATTTTAGACGTCTGGTAGACTAGATCCTCCTATCCTTCTGAGGTTGGTAAAATGAGTACCCAGCGTGCTGTGGGGGCAATGTGTTGCCTGCATAATTGTAAACTGCCCAGAGAGTGCTTTAAGCACAGTGGGGCGGTATATAAGCAGCACGCTTTGCTTTGCTTTGTTTTGTTTTGAAGATATGGGAATGTAGAAACATAGTACTATTATTGTTGTTGGTTTGTATTTGTATATTGCTTTAGATTTTCTTCTTTTTTTGTTTGTATGCTTTGCTGTAA